CTTTCTCATGGGAGGTGCCAGGAAACTGCTGCTTTGTTCAGAGTGCTATGGCTTTGTGATGTGGTTTGGTTTTTCTTCATCTAAACATGCACAAGACTCTACCAGCTCACCAGATTCCAGGAAGGAAACAAAAATTAAAGCAAAATTTTCTTTACCCTGTTTCTCTGCACAGTCTGTAGCAAGACCAGCAATCCAACTAAAAATTACTTCCCAAATTCAGCCTATAGACTTCAGAAGTCAAGGTTGGAAAATGAGCTATATTTAGACAGGCATATGAATACAGGACTATCTGAAGTTTACAGACTCTAAGGTATGTTATTCCAGCAATTGATTTCCATGCAGTGAACCCCTGGCCAAAAGTTGCATCCAGAGTAAAAGTGAGTAAGACAGGCAGACATATATACACTGGAGAGCACCCTATGTCTGGCTACAGAGGGTGCTGGGCTGGTTTGCAGCAGTGATTTGCCAGGAAAAGTAATGGTCGTGAACTAAAACACAAGAAGTTCCACCTCAAGATGAGGAAGAACTTCTTTACATTGAGTGTGGCAGAGCACTGGAACAAGCTGCCCAGAGAGGTGTTGGAGTCTTATCTCTCTGGAGACATTCAAAACCCACCTGGACGTGTTCCTGTGTAACCTGCTCTGAGTGACCCTGCCTTGGCAGGGGGGTTGGATTGGATGATCTCCAGAGGTCCTTTCCAACCCTAATGAATCTGTGATTCTGTGAACCTCAGCACTGGAAAAAGGTTTGATGGTCAGTTTCTATCCGAAGTTATTGCTAATGGCATTTTTATGTTCTGTCTACTTTCATCACCTAACAAATATTTTGAAAATTACCAAATTAGCTTGCACAGAAAAGTAATAAATAGCATAATTTAAAACTTGTATCTCTTAGATGAAAGTAGATGTGTAATAGCTACTTAGCTGCTGCACTTCAAAGCTGAAAACTACTTCTCTTTGCTAACAATTGATGTTCTTTAAAAGGGTGAATTATCTAAATAGTTTGTGCTTTATTTAACAGAAATTTCCAATAAACCTCATTCCTTCACTTTGAGTTATGTCACTTCATGCCATGTGACATGAAGGCATTGATGTAAGTTTGACAGGCAGTGCCAATGCTGACATGTCAGTTTAAGAATTTATGACAAACTCTATGCTACAGATCTTTTTAAAACAACTATGGATTGCCAAGGAAAAAAAGTCTTTAAAATGTGTAATAACACTGATGCATTTTTAGATTGAAAACAATTTATTCAGTTCAATAGTTAGATTGATTTAATGTTCAGGCTGACACTTAATACAATAAAAGAAAAGAAATTTATATTGAAAATTCCCAACTAGCTCACGTTACAATATATTATATAGCAAAGGAAAATGAGATGTGTTAATGTAATGTTTGGGGGGTTTTTTTAACTGTCATTAAAGAATACTGTTAGCATTTAATAATTTGAAATAATCTGTCTCAAATTTTAAGACCCTACACAAAAAAAAAGGCCTCAGCTGAACAGAGAAAGAATTGCTTATGAAAAATCTCAGCCAGCAAAGAATACAATATGGCAAGGGGAATGTCTTTCACTAGAAGTGCTAATTGATCTAAATCATGCTCTTTTTTTTTTTTTCTGGGTTGGAGGATGTGTTGATTTGGTAATATCATTTTTGCACAGATCAGGTCCTGCCCTATAATTTCTTTGTAATCTCTTTACTTCATTTGAAGAATGCTTAGGTCAGTCATGTGTGAACTTTCAAGCATCTGTTTTATCTTCAAATTTCCTAATTCTGTAATGGAAAAAAAATAGATTGAATGCCTAAGGGCTAATCAAAGTAGTGAATCATAATCATTTTTCAAGACACAAAATGAGCTTATTAGGGAAGAAAAAAAAGGGGAAAAAAAGAATTAACTCTTTATGATCATCAGACAAAATTGTTTAATATGTTAAAAATACATTAATATTGTGGAACATCAGAAAACTCTGTCTCACTTAGCATTTACCAAAATGTACCAGAATTCAAATAGTCCAATCCTTCTTCAATAGTTAGCCATCCCAAAAATCAAATCCTGAAAACAGGCTGATGAGTGAAACGAAAAGATCTTTTGCAGGTGGAGACACTGCATCTATAGAACCCTAGCTAGCTGAACTTCCATTCTGTAATGTTTTCCCTGTAAAAGCTTTCTTCTTTCAGGATATGTGAAAGGAACCTGATTTTGGCCCTGTTTTCATTAGAAAGATGGAAATGTGTCACAGGCATGGCATCAGTTAGAACTGATAGCACTAATTTCAATAGAAGAAATAGAAAAGCTACCATGAATTTCCTGTTCTCAACCGCTGCGCGTTTTCCCGATAATGCCGTGCTTCAGGCTACTAGAGCACTGCATGGCAGTTTACACTGTTGCTACCTAATATATTATTAGCCAGGGAATGTTTGATTTAGATTATTGCAGCAAGTACTACCTACAAAGTAATCACAAAGGCATAGTCCAAGTAGAAGGATGGCTTCTGTTGCTTGTTCTGAAATTAATCATGCATTAATTTCAACTGAGACAGCAGCTACTGTTCATATATAATTACACACAAATGTTTGGTTTAGAGCTGCCCACTGTTCCAACAGCCAGGAGAACCTCCAAATTCTTGGAATCTCAAAAACTGCCTCCTGCACAGAAAGCTACATTTGCCTCTATTCAGTGTGAACATATATCAGTTTGTTGCTTTTTACATCCATTCTTAGTAGATTTAAAAGGACCTGGAAAAAAGCACAGATGTAGAGAGGCAAATGTATCTGAAAGCCAGATCTCTGCCTCCTGTCTGTTTCAAAGGCAACTCCTGGCTAAAAAAGGTCAGTAACACAGCTTTACCAAAGCCATACTTGCAGACTATTAAATGTTTAGAAGATGTTAGATGTGGAATGTCAGTCTTTTGAAGCAGATGGCTGCATGCCATACAAATGTTGAAGACACTCAGGACTTGGTGATCATTTTTACTGGAGTTCACGTTTTTCTGTTTGTCGTCTCTCATGCTGCAGATGAACTTTGAATTCTTAGTCAGTGCATTTGGAGTAGAGGCCAATAAAAGTTTTGCAGCTGAAAAGGGATAAACTTAAACATGAATGTCACCTCTGACAGAACTTGATTGGCAACAAATGGGCTGGGGTCACATTTAATAAAACCTCATAATGAAGCCTCACCTTGAGTCTCCACCCAGAAACCTGAGAAAAGTAAACTAAATTGAACAACTTAACCTCCTCAGTCAGGTAATTTTCCTCATTCTTGAGCACAAGTCAATCAGCTTAAAAAGCACTAGTTTACTGAAGGAAAAAAAGAAGAGCAAAACAGAAAAACAAGGTAACATATTAAGGGTATATACCTATTGCTTGTAGTATAACTTCAACCATTTTTCCAGTCCTCTCCTCTGCTGGATCTGACCAGCTGATTGCCTCACAGCAGAGCCTAACTGCCTGTCCCACTGCCCCCTCTAAATAAGCACTGCAGCGCTGTTGTTTGTAGTTTCCCTTATTTCACCTTTTAGGTCAGAACATATATGGCAGGGGGAAGTAACAAGTCTCTTTGTATACAGGACGCTCTTAAGCAGTTTCTTCCCTAAATCCACAGAATATTAGTAATTTCTGCTTCATGGGATATTCTGTACAAAGTCACTTTCTTTCCTCTTCTTGCAGATGACTTTTGCCCTCTGATGCTGGAAACTATAGCATTGTATTATGGTGATCTCTCACCCTGAGTACTCCTAAACATAGTTAATTAGTCCAGACTCTAATACCCAGTTTGAAATGGCTCTCCATGATATGTCTCTTGATAAATTAGAGCAAACCTTCTCTCTATCACAGTATATAAATGCGTGTAGAATAAAGGTGGCTCAAATCTGACCAAGAGCTCTTTTCATTCATTGCCTTTTTTTCCACAGGGGATACTGTCAGCAGCAAGCTTCTCCTCTTGAGTCACCTCCTCTGGTGACTCTGCCAGGCTTACAGATAAAGAGCATCACTGTTTCATTTGTTTTGCCTTGGAGCTCCATCACTGACAGTTTTACAGCCCCCTGCCAGGAGTCACACATCCTGCACAGGCACCATTGTACTTGAAAGGGCCCAGTAATACTACAGTTTGATAGGATGGGTCTCTAACCTATGGCTCTGCAGACCTTCCTATATAAACTAACTCAGTGGCTCACAAGTTTCACCTGACAACTGTTATACTCATGGTCTTTGTTCTCTTTTCAACAGAGGGAAGTATTATGCAATACATGGCAGGTGTATTGTATTAACACAGTGATGAAAGAAGTGACTGCAATAGAATATATTAAAAATATGAAGTACAGTTAGGCTCAGATAATTTTACTTGGTGAAAAAACACTAACTTCAAGAAATAAATTTCTCTAGATTATAAGTAATAGGCAAGACATAATAATCTGCTTGGTGTTTAACCTCCTGGTGACCACGTTGGTAGGACCCGCTACCCTGACCCTTTCACAGCTATGTTTTTAAGCACCTCAAAATAAATGGCAGACAATTGTTAATGGGACAGAGTTGCTGCTCTATTTGCACTGGACAGGTTTCTGTTTTTCCTTTATCAGGCCTTTAATTGCTTGTGATGAATGCCCATGCTCTGTCGAGGACATGACTGAGAACAGTCACAACCATGTGCTGGGGGTGTCCCGCGGGCAGGGGGCTGCTGCCACACGTGGCTGATGTGCCCGGTACCAGGGCTGCTGTGCGGCTCTGGGGACGAGCCCTGAGAAGCGGACTGGAACTAGTAAGGGTCCAGTAATGCCCAGTTTGGTCCCTGCACCTGTTTGAACTGGCTGTGCCGGTTAGGGTACTGCAGAGGCGAGGGGCCAGCGCTGGGGAGGGGGCCCGGGGGCGGCTGCAGCGCAGGCATAGCCTGGCTGCCGGCACAGGCTGGCTGCCGGCACCTGCCCCAGCCCATCTCCAGCCCATCTCCAGTCTCCCCGTGACCGACTGGGGCTGGCAGCGCCCCAGCGCCGGACTCCGGCGGGGCAGCGGGGTCTCTGCCCGGCTCCCAGCATGTCCGGGGCGGAGGTGCTGGACACCCAGGGACCTGCAGGCGCTGTGGAATGCACGGGGGACGTCCCCTCTCTTAAAGAAATCGAGCAGCTCCTGAACACCGGGCGGCCCTCCTGCAACCACGTTGATGAAGTATGGCCTAATCTCTTTCTAGGAGACCTGTAAGTACAGCTTTTTGGACACACCTCTGCCACACCTTCTGTTAGTATGCCTCATGGGTGCGGCTTTAGACAGCTCATAGCTTTCCTAATTGCTGTCATTTACACTGCAGACAGCACGATTTCCGAGATAAAATTATGACTCAGCTGGTACTTGCTTCTAAGTTAGCCCTTAGAGGCAACGCACAGCCTGATGCTCCAACTTGGGAAATGCAGTCTCACAGTGCTACTCCTGATCTGTGAATGTCACTGCACTTATTTGATTTGTTTGTCTTTTCCTTAGAGTAACAGCTCACAACAGATTTGTTTTGTGGAAGATGGGCGTGACCCATGTTTTAAATGCTGCCCATGGCACAGCCTACAGCCACGGAGGCCAGGACTATTATGGAGCGACCATTCATTATTATGGTGTACCAGCCCAAGACCTGCCAAGCTTTGATATAAGCCAGTTCTTTTTCTCCGCAGCACAATTTATCCACAAAGCCTTGAACACACCAGGAGGTATGAAATTATTGTTGGTCATATTTTTATGCAAGTTGGCAGCCTCTCATAACAGATCAGCTCCACAAGCTCAGTGGTGGACGAGTCACTACATGGCGTCCTCCTAGCTGCCGGTTACCTGCGCGGTGGGTGGCAGGAGGAGGGAGTGCTGTGTACCTGGACGTAGCTCTGACTAGGTCCCAAAAAGCTTATGTGAGAAAAGAAATGAACAGTGCAGGAGAGAGACTGGGATGGAGAGAGGAAGAGAGGGGAGGAGAGGAGAATATCTGGAAGGAAAGGCTCATTCAAAAAGGGAGAATCAAAAACATGCATTTAAAATGAACACCCTCTTTTGAGACCCTTTTATAGCAACTGTACTTATAAGAACAAATGAATAAAGAAACAAAAGTCCTAATTTCTACAATCACCAACTGTATGAGGAGGCTCAGATATTGCAGATGAGCTTCTTGTTTGAACATGGCCTGGAGGGCTGTGTCCTCAAGGAGAAGAATTACCTTTACCCAAGGAGATTTATAGTGAATTGCACAAGAAACTGAGCTTCTTGGCAGTGGTACAATATAATACTAATTAACCTGTATTACATAAAAGATCATTTCTTAGCATGATAAACTGGCATTAATGGAGCTGTCTCTATATCACAAGTTTTGCCTTCAAAATACAATTACAGTTGCATCAAATTGCCTTATTATGCAATAGTACTAGCCAGTCATTTTTCTTTTGTTAGTGCCATCCACTCAGGCCAAATTTTAGCATTCTTCTTCGCCTAAGTAAGCCCTTTGAAACCAATGGGTCTGATTTTCCTCTTTCTCACAACAAAACAACTTCATTATTTCAACAGGGTTTTTTTCTGTGATTTGCCAGTGTTTCTGACATCAGGTGGGGATCTCATGGTGCTTCTTACACAAGTGAGTGTAACAATGGCAAATTAGAGTTAATTGTTAGCAGTTCATACGATCTATCAGAAGGGTAAGAAATACGTCATGTCTGCCGTGTTACTGTGAATAAGCTGGAGAAGGCAGAAGGGCTTTGCCTTCCCTTTAGATTAAACTTCGTCCACTGTACTGCTTCTCTTCCATGGTTATAATTTTTTAATTTCTTTTTAACCAGCTAAAATATTGGTACATTGTGCAGTTGGAGTAAGCAGGTCAGCTTCCCTAGTCCTGGCATATCTCATGATAAATCACCACCTTCCATTAGTTGAAGCCATCAAAACAGTGAAGGAGCATCGATGGATTTCACCCAATCGTGGCTTTCTGAAACACCTGCGAAATTTGGATGTTCAGCTACGGCAGAAGAAGGACTGCTGACTGGGCAAACTTATTTGCATTCACTTTACTGAGTTTCAGCCTTCATAGTCATTGTGCATACACAACTTCCTATGATCAGTGCATGTTACAAAAATGAAGAAAATTATGCATCAAAGTAAAAGGTCAACAGAACTGTAAATGGATTAATTTTGATAGCTCAGTTCCTCCAAGACCAGCACAGCCAACATCAGCACTGTAAGCACCGTGGAGCTGCCATGCCTACAGTGGCACTACCATATAAATCCATTGAAGTGGTTAAGATGGACAGAGTTTGTTCCTGGTTTGTGCTAATGCCAGAGGAAAGTACAGTAATTGCATCTAGCTCTAAAGGATGTTTGAATCCCCTTTACTTGGGAGGGTAACATAATCATCTTTGTAAGTTTGGTTACAGTTCTCATATGCAAGAAAAGCATTTTGTTTTTCAGGCCTGATTATGTGGCAAGGGCAGTTTCTTAAGAGCCCAAGGACTTCTACAGAAACATTCCTCTTTCACAGGTCTGCTAAATATTACAGTGCTATAGAAAGCTGTGACAGCCAGAAGACCCACACCAGCAGAATAAACGTCTGTGAAGCTCTCTACAGTCTGGGTCAGCAAAACCACAAATCTTTTCTTGTTAAATACGTTTTCAGCAAGATAATGTATATCATGTAGTATATTGAGGACATTAAAAAATGTCAGGTCTCTGAAGCATTTTGTAAGCTTAAACCCATCAGTTCGTTCTCACTCCAAATTATCCCAGATCAGTTCTGTGTCAGTGGCTTTGAATCATCCATGGTTTAATATCAGGTAGAAGCTTAGCTTACATCAGTGGCTTGGCTTAATTGATACAAGTTAGTTTTAAGCTGTTTTGAGCATGTCACTTTTCCTATCACCAGTTAATCGGTACTTAAACCAATGTGATTTTTAATATAGCAACTGCATTTGAAATTCATGCTACCACTCTGACTGAAAATTACCTTGTTACCTTGTGGTGAACCATGAAGTGATAATCGAATTTGGGTTTGCCCTTTGCTACTGGTTTGATTTATTGATTAGTTGACCTTATAAAGATTCTCTGCTAGATTAGGTAAATACATTTCTGCTTGTTTGTTTGCATTTGAAGCATCAGTTCTGATAATTTTTCTCTCTGCTGGAAGAGACTTTCAAGGTTATTAGAAGACTAAAATAGTGGTAACTTGTGAGTTGAACCTCTTCCTTCCCAGACCCCCATATTCTCCTTAATTCTTGGAGATGTTATGACATGAATGCTGATTCTGCCTAGCATTTATGGGAATTTAGGAATCTGTCCCTATTTTGCTGTACACAAGTGCTTTACAAAATAAGTATATTTAGGATTCTTTCAGACATCAATTTCACTGTTCAGATTTTCCTAAACCTTGCCAAAGAGCTCCACTGATGAGAGAAAGATAAGACATTGTCATGTAAAAAGATCAAATAGGAAATCACATTTAAAACCCAACAGCAGTGGGACAACTTTTATAACTCACAAAGAAGCAAGGTGGAGGAGGAGGAGCTGGGTTTGCTTTGAAGTTCTTCATTAAAATTAATAGGGATTTATATGACTTAATATTTCATTATAATTTATACTTCATTCACATTACAGTAGCTTTTAATCTGGAAACCTTTTGAAGACTTGGCATTGAAAAATCTGAAACTCATGTGAGTGAAATAATGCATTTTAGTGGCTTTAGGCTGGGCAAAATTAGACACATGTGAGCAAGATTAATGGAATCTCCCCATCAGGATAATGCTTTGCATGCCCCTGAACATCTGTCCTACAAAGCCACAGCTGTGAAAGCTGCTCCTGTTGTAAATTAGTACCTGCTCTTGAAGATACTGCTTATCCTGGGAGAGTATTGTTTTAGCAGGGGTAGAGGAGAGATGAGTACAGAGCAAAGCTGAGTCAGTAGGGCATCCAAGCCACCAATGACATGGTAGTGATCTTGTAAGCAAAACTTACCTCAGTGGAGAGAATGAACTAGTGCTCTTTTCAAGGGCACTAGCAAATCACAGAAGTGTTTTTAATCTGTGGAGTCAGCGTTGCCTATATTTCCCATCTGTCTGCACTGCTCCCTTCCTTATATACAGATTAACTTTGACTCCAGCTTTGTTCAGGAAAAAAGATTCCAGTCAACATAAGCAAAAGCAGAAGAGTTAGCACATCACAGCAAACAATGCTTTCTGTTTTAAGAAGTTACATGGCTAAGAGGAAAAGGGACCTCCTCACCTGTTACTTACAGTACCCAAAATTCAAGTCATACTTGGATATGACATTAACACTTCATTTCTTTCTACTATCAGCATGAAAACTTGTATTTTGAGTGTTGGTTTAGTAAGTTAGACTAAGGAACCAAAATAAAGGAAAAATACTTCCTTGCCAGTGGGACTTCGTTCAGAAAAATGCACATTTTTTAAGAGTGTCTACACAACCCAGGAGAATAAAGGCACTGAAATTTAACTTCTAACTGAGGGATAATTCCATTTTGAAAGATGTTTAAATACCTAAAGGTAAATTGTGTACCTGCTGAGCCAGCCAAAGCACCTAGGCTCATGCAGCAGTGCCTGTATACCCTCCCAGGAGCTTGCAGGAATTGTCAGTCCTGGTGGTCCTTCCTGACCAGGAGCTGATTACCTTCTATCTCCTCTGAAGCTGCAGGTGCACAGACCTTCCTGCCTCAGACTTTGTGGGACAGAAATTCATTCAGGTTACAAAATACATAGAAACTCCATCCAGATCAGGAAGCTCATGAGCCGCAGCTAGATGGAACCTGGGAGAGGTTAGAAAGCAGTATAATTCATACTTGTGTGTTCTTATTTTCTATAGGCATCCACTTTGCTTCCATCCAGTCAGGCACAGGATAGTGGGTAAGGCCCAGGACAGTGGCTCTCATGATCTTTATTTTGAACTTACCCTTAAGATGCGCTATCCCCTCTTTCCTGGTAGCTTATTATTAGAACTGGGTCACATGAGGCATTTGGGACTCTGTCTCAGTTGCATTGACCGACATTTCTTTCCCAGGGAAAGCTCTATGCTGGCAGGAACAGCAATACAGCTCATGTGGGGAGGGGAGTAGCATTTTTTTGCATAAGATTCAGTTAATGCAGAGTTTTCGTTTTTCTGGCTGTTGCCCATTGCATGAGGGATGTGGCGCTGAGCTAATCCAGGGAGGCGTCAAGGCGCGTGCCATATTTAGAGTCAGCCACCTGCTTGGAACATCAAGCAGCAGCAAAGAGCCTGCTTCAGCAGAAAACTGCTCTGTGGGTCCTGCAGCAGCGCCTTCCAGCAGGCCCTCCTCTGCCTAAATCTGCGTGTGGCCTCCGAAGGGGTCAGCACCTGAAGACAGTCAGACCCTGTCAGCCTGGGAGTGCTCTGAGGCTGGCACTCCCTCTGCCCGGGAACTGCCAGGTATTTTGGACAGCTGCAAGGTGGAAGTAAATCACGTGGGTGAAGAGTGGCCTAATCTCTGCATAGGCAATATGTAAGTGTTATTTGAGGCTGAGCTGTTCTGAAGGGCTGGGAAATACAGTACTCGTTAACATATGCTGTCCAACTTTATTTAGTTAGCATTGGTAAACTTCATTGCCTTAAAATAGACTTAAGATTAGCATAGAAGAAAGAAAAAGGATTATTCATTAAAGAAAGAACCCACTGAACAGAAAATTAATTAAAAAGAGAATTAGACTCTATTGCTTTGCATTATTTTATAAATGCTGCAGCATTTACCATATAAAGCACAGGACAGACTCATGATCCTGAGCAGCCTTAAAATTGAACAGTGATTGGTTTTACCTTTTTTGGTTTAATTTAACTAGAATGGAAATTTTCACATTAAAAATTATTCTGATTTTGGCTGTTTATATGACAACTTGATTTGCAGTTGAAATTTCTAACAAAAACCAATATGGATGTTCTGAATGACAGCAGACTCCACTGTTTGTTTTTCAAAGCTGTATAGATGGATATTTCACTCATGCAGTCATCTGCACTCAATGTGCCTAGTGCCCGATGTTATGCCAAAAGTTTTTTTCACCACCACCAGGTTGCAAACTTGTTGAAATATCTGGAAATTAAAATTACAATAATTCCTACATGAGAGAAGCAGGAGGAACTAACAATCCTTTGGCTAATTGCCCATTGATTACAGATAAAAGTGGGCATTCTTTTAGCTATGAAAAAGCAAAGCCAAAAAAATGAGCTAGGTGACGGGGAAATAATTTTCACTTACAAAACTTGGTTTTACAAATTGCAACCTGCTTCCCAATCTCACTGCACTTCTAATGAGGAGTGTGACACCCTGCAGGTGGGCCCAGCAACAGGGGCCCTGGGTGTGGAAAGGCAGAAGCCAACACAACAACACGCAGTGCTTCACTGAACTTCTGCCTTGGCAGTGAGAATGGGAAACCAACCTCGGCTTTTCCAGTTAAACCTTGTAACTGTACTTGGAAATTAAAGTTTTACTTATTAGAACCATTTGGATTTGTAGAATTGAGCCCAACAGGTAGTAAAAGCAAAGATTTAATACAAAAATCACTGAAATTGTTGGGGAATAAAATGTAAAACAGTGTATGTGTAGTAAGGAAAAAATGAACTTCGAGAGCATTCAGCTAACGGGAATAAAAATGTAAACAGGTTTGTTTGCTAATGCAACAGCTGATCGCTAATATCAGCTTAAATACAAGTTACAGACTGCAAATAGTGAAACTGGGAGTTGATCAAGTGCTACAGACAGAATTTTCTTCATTTTGCCAGCATCAATAAGACAAATATGAACAACTCCTGAGAATAAGGTTTCATGGGATCTTCATGAGATAGAAATGGGGAATAGAGTATTAAATTAATCATTAAGTATTTGCATTTAGGGCCCAACGCAATACTCAGTGAAGTCAATAAACAGTGGATGTTTCTATCACTGAGCGAACCCATGCCAGCATCAGGACTTGTGTCAGAGCTAAAGTAACCCAAAGCAGTACCATATATTGTCATTTCTTGTTTCTGTGGAACCAGTTGTGTGCAGTTTCTGAGCAACTACTTGGAAATCAAAGATCAATCTAGAATTAATGCTGTATTCAATAAGAAATATTTCTCCTTATGTGTTTATCAGAAATCTGATGATCAGTGTCTTTAAACAAGTTAAATCTGTCTCATAAAGTGGGGAAGGCTGATTTTATATGATGACCTTCATCCTGGAAGACTTTGAAGTTGTCAACAAACTGATTATTAAATATTTGTCTGGCTATCAGCCATTGTTTATATGCAAGGCCAAGGCCAAGACTCTCTAGGTTTAAAGGTAAAATGTTTTTTGAAATCCTACATAATAAGTGGCTGAGGGCACAATATGTAAAATATTCTGCAGAAATCAAACCTCATGCTGATCTTAAGCAGGCAGGTTTGTTTACTGGAGTTTAGCCAGATTGACAAGGCTAATATCGTTTCATCAAAGAAACATCATACAGGGTGAGGCAAAATGGTTACAGGATGGGCTAAAATCTTGTGTATTCTTTCAACATACATATTTCAAGTCTAATGATAGGAGGACCTGAGGTATCTCCTGAAGTGCATTTTTGTAAAGTGTTTAGGCCAGCAATCCCCAATGCCTTTGTAGTCAACTGGAGCCTGTAAAACTTGTTGAATTTATTTACTTGCAGAAGTGAAATAACTTGGAATTCTGAATTTCCAGATATGTTTGAGTATATTCAGAAATCATAACCTTTTACCATTCTTTCACTGCCTCACTTTTTCTTATAAATGTCAAAGGGGGAAAAATGTCTCAAAGTGTGGTGGGCACTGCTCTCTACAGACAGGAATACATTACAAGGCAACAAGATACCTTGAGCTACTTTTTGTCATGAGCTTTCATACATGATTCTCCTTAGTTCCATAACCCATAACAAGGAAGACCTGAAAAGGCTTGGTGACACCCATGCACTGAGTGCAGCACATTTTTGCATGGAGAATCAAATGAGACCCAACTTTCCATGGCCAGGAAATGCATTATTATGGAATACCTGTAGAGGACACGATTGACTTCCACCTTGTTGCACATTTCTGTACCACCTCTGAGTGCATTCACGAGGGCAAATGGCAAGGCTCTGTCCTGCTGGTAAACCACTGCTCCTACTGAGCACTTCCATTAAGCAATCACAAATTACTTTAGCAGCATTAACTAAACCTCCCTCAACCACTTGTGTGAGCCTAATTATCCACCTACAGACATTGTCTCCACTGGCAAGTGGGAGAACAGCAGGATCCTGAAAGATTATGAGTGACCAGCAAAACCCTACCCACATCAGTGGCAAGGATCATACACAGCCTACTCCTAATCCATCAGAGCATATCTTCTGTAGCCGTAGGGGAAAAAAACAATTATAAAAGGGAATGATGCTGTATTTTAGTGACTGGGGAGAAAGTTCTGAGTTCTCAGTCAGAAATCACTGACTTCTTTAGTTTTTCTGTATTGATTCATCAGAATACACAATACAAAAATAGTTACTTTCTGGTTTGAGAAACAGCCAAAAGCTGCAAAGAGCTATTGCAGAGACATGCCAGTTGGCCTTTTACAATGCCTAATGCCATGTGTTTCCCTCTGTTTCTGAACTCAGGTCTCTAGTAATAAAAAGTGGTTCTTGATTTATGAAAGGGATGGATGTAATACCCTGGAGGCTACTTTATCTCATCTGCTGTAAATTGGATCTCTTGGAGATGAGATGAGATGAGATAAGATGAGATGAGATGTGAGCGAGGCAGAAGAAATGCAATCTGTGACCATGGCACTATTCCTTGCAGTTGGAACAGCACTACATGTATTCATTTCTGTTTGTAAGGGAAAAATCTTTATTTGCTGTATTCTTAGAAAAGCAGATCCACTTCTTTTCTGCTGGCTGGCCTTATGCTACTCTGTCACTCCTCTAGGCAGTGCTATCCAAAGAGTTGTTCAGTAGCGAGCAATTTCATCAAGCTGCAGGATTTACATATTGAACTAAGATACAGTATACACCTGTGTCAACTAAACTCTTACATGATTAAAAAACAAAGTGACAAGGAGAAATGTCAGACAATCTGAGTATGACATAAAGATGTAAGGAACATGACCCAAAGTTTGGCATCAAATCTATCTTACTGGTGTAGAAGGTTTCTGAATTTTGTATGCTCCAGTCATTCCTCTATCATTTGGTTAAATTAAGGCAAGAAATGTGTTAGACACTCCTCTAGGATACATTCCTAATTTGTTGTCCATTCTGCTCATTCAAACTCTTCAAACAACTCCAAGAGAAAATAGGCCCCTGTTTAAAATTAAAGCTCTTAAGTATGTTCCTGGACATAAAAAGATGCAATTATGTTTAGCTAGATTGGGATCAGCAAATGAAAAGGGGAAAAAATTGTCCAAACCGTACAAGAAGTCATCCAGATGGGAGACAGATGTTTTCACCTTGGTGACAATAGATGCTGAATGGCTGGGGACTTCCGCGAGGTACATTCCTCCTGCCATGCTCTCTGTCCAGCTCTGTCTTAGCTTTATGGACCTGAGAATTACTGCAAATGTAATAAATTTGCAGCCATTAATTAGCCTTTTTTTCATGCTCGGAGTTCCCACCAAAATTCTTTTTACTCAAACATTGCTGTGTCTCTACCACTAGCAAACAGAGAAAGACACAAGTTCTTTAATTTTACAGGAATATTTCATAAAAGAACTGCTCTTTCAGCCTTACTCTGCTGGTTTAGAAGACAGGTTTCTCCCAGTAACCTGTTTTCTGTCGATGTCTCGCAAAGGAAAGGGGACTGTAAAGATAAAAACAGTTTTGAAATGACTACCCAAATTGGCAAGCTAAGCTAGACCACCCTGGGGTAGTTCTCATTTTAGAGCAGGTCTTGGAAAACAAACCGTAGTTTTAGACTGAAGTCCTAACCATGCAGAGGTAAAATACCTGAGAAAGTTGCTGGTGGCAATTCAGCATCTCAACAGAACTCCATAGCATTTGCCCAGAGTTCGTTTGTCACGTGTGCATTTCCATAGAATATAATGCAGTGCAACATCAGAGCACCAATGCTGAGGCCAAACTAATCCTTGTGGAAACCCTCACCCAAAACCAGCGGGGCAACCCAGAGCTGAATTTGCCCTCCTATTTCTGAAAAGAGAAGTCTGCCAAGGACATCATGGCCTATGAGGCACACATTGCTGGCAGGCTCTCAAGTGCCAAAATAGAACCAGCATTGCCAGCCGCACACATCCTGTGCTTTGCAGGCAAGACGCAGACAAGAAAAACAATCAAGTTGTCTGGTGGAAAAAGTGGCTTCCCAGGATCTCTCTGACCACGGTGTAATTGTGATCAATCCACATTGGCAAGTATCATCTTTCCACGTGTGTTCCGCCTAGTGCAGGCTGCCTGTGTGAGCAGCTCAGGCAGGCTGATGCATGCTTGTTATTGCCGGCATAAATATCTCTGCCTTGTGTTATTGTGGCACAAAGCAGCTGGACCATTTGAAAATCATTTAAAAAGCACTATAAAATTAGGGCTCCAGTGCTCTTATTTTATGACTTTCACAAGCAGCCGTTGCCTAGAGAGAAATTATCCTCTTTATTTTCCAGGCTAAAGGTTCTTTTAACATTCATCAAAATCAAAGTGCACCCTTGATAACACATCGAGCTGTTACTTATCTAGTACAGACTCTTTACCTTCTGTATAATATCACATTTGAGATCTCAGTTCTTCATATACAACTCATTTCATTGTGTCTGCTGTTGTTTTCACCAAGTGAATTTGCGTAGTTTCTAGAGAGGTTGGATGATGCCCTGAAACACATTCTTTTCATAATTCCCTTTTTTTTTTTAATTTTATTTTTAGAATAATAGCCTGGAGTGCTTTTGTTACTGATCCTTCTATAAAAATGGTCAATTACCTCTTTGGCAATGGATTTGCACAGACCAATTAAGGTCCGTAAGTGAAAGCTTTTCAAGGACAGAAATAGTACTTAGGTGCATAACCTGATGGACTCACCTTTCTGCATTTGAAAAAATCTCTTTCCCATATATAAAAAAAAGGCTTTGATTTTTTTTTTCTATTCTTGTTTTTACAGACAGCTGCTTTACCAAACTCAGGAAAACGGTGAGTGAACCAAAGCAACATGAAAAAATGCAAACAGTACAAAGGAAAAGCCATTCTTTTTAGAAATAAAAAAGAAGCACAGCTGCATCAACCATACTCACAGCTCAAATCTGAAGGGCTTAGGAAGAAACACTGCATGAAATCCTCAACCACAAAGGTGACAAGTGGGGAATGCCCTGCACATGCTCTGTGCTGCAGCTCAAGAAAAACACTGTGTGTCTCTGTGTTGTTTAACCTGCCTTAGGTTTTTGTAAGGGACAGGTCACCTTATTATCCAGACATCAAATACAGACTGGAGATAAACATTTACAAAGTCATAACCTTAGCTCTGTTCTCATGGTTCCCTCTTTGGCCAAGATTTTTGTCTTTATGTCCTCTAGGGGTAGCAGGCTCATTCCTGTGCCAAAGAGCAGCATGCTTTCAGATCCCTGCAAGGGGGGTTGGTTGTTGCTAATAGATCCCGCTGTGAAGGCATGTGTAGCCACATAGAGCATCTGTACAGTCAAGATGCATCATCCTGCATGGAGGAGGAGATGTAACCAGCCAGAAGGCAGGCTATATGTGTGCAAAGAGAGCTTTGCCACCATGCCAGCACCTCTGAGAGCAGAGGGAGTCTGAATTTTTAATGACAGATTTTGCTTGTCATCACCCAGTTTGTGACCCATCAACAGAACGGTTAAGCTAGCAGAGGAATGAGATGCAGTTATTTGGTAATCACTATTATTCATGACCCTGGAAAGGCAGAAAATGGGACAGGCATGACAGACATCTTCACGGATATAGGAAGTGGGACAGACATTTAGTAAGTCAGGATAAGAAAGCACCTCAGCTCTATGGTACATTTTTCTGTTTCAATAGTCAGTAACCACCTTCCTGTGCCTGACAGTCTCAGAAATAAAAAGAAGAGCCCGAATAAGCATTTCAGGTCAGATTTGATCTTCTGGGTTAAGACTGACCTACTCAGTCTCAGCCCTTACTTGTGGCAATAGTGAAAAGTGGCAGAAGAGCAGAGGTCGGTGTATCCCTCTCAAGACCTGATCCAGCACCACAACTGTAATTAAGTCACCTGTGCAGGAACTTCCTCCCTTCTGAGCTGACCTGCACATATGTTTGTCCCCTCTGAGGTATATACACCTTGCTCAATAGATCAAAAATTAAAAACTCAGGGATAAATCCCTCACCAATAGAATAGAAACAGAAAATCCCTTCTACCCAGAGATTTCAAATTTCTGGACAGCCCTGAATTTGCCTTTGTTTGGGGGATAAACTGCCTGTGGTGAACAGTTTCTCACTCTTGGTCTTCACTAAAAAGGATAGCAAATTGACAATTGCAGTTAATGCTTCAGTGCTGAAAGGGGAGGATTTTCCTTTCAAGCACTGAAGGGGAACAGATGTCTATAGAGTGTTGTTTCTGCTGTACACACATATCTACTAACACCTCAATGTGTAAAGGCTTGCTCACCTCATGTCCAGAGCAGGATTAAGCATTCCCTGGAGCTGCTTTGACTTAGGTGATCAGTGGCTGGAAGGCTGGCAAAAGGACCCAGGTTGTGGGATGATCTGGACAAGGCAGATTCAAAGTCATTTGTGCTCAGTTAAACCTATTAATTTCCAGGAAGGCTTAGTCTACTTCTGAATAGCAAGTGCGATCCTATAATTCTGAGGTGGGCAGCCAAAGGGCAAAAGAAAGTTCCTGGATGCTGAAGTGTTCTTGTGGTGTTGCCAGCAGCTGCGGAGCTTCCATCATTTGCTTTCCTCACAAAACGAAACTGATTCTGCTACTAACTGCAGAACCAAGCTGGGAACAAAGTTATTTTACCAAAAGAAGCAATACAAGAAAGAATACCTTGAAAAGACAAGTAGGATCAGAAACTGGAGGGGAAAGGTGTGAGGGCACTGGGGTCTGTGTACGCGTCATCTCATGGGGCAAGGGCGTTCCTGCCCAGGTGATGGGCACCCATATCATCAGTTCTTTTTCCTTATCATCATAACTGTTGAAACTTGCTTCAAACTTTTTTCTTTTGCTCCTTAACTCTTGATTCCTTGTCATCCTTCTCCATGGTGCCACTGTGAAATGGCAATTGATTCATAGTGACAAATGTATTCCCAGCCTGGGGGATAGATTCTGGATGTTTGGTGCCCGTGTTATAGAATGCAGTATTTAGTAATGGTTACTGTGCACACTGCATTAATAAGACAGGTGGAAAAGGCACCAAGGCAGGTTAGACCTGAAGATCTGGATAGTTATTTTCTCCATCAGCCCAGAGCAGAGTCTAGGGAAAGACAGCATAAGAAACAGGGCAGCTGCTTATCTTCCAGCTTTTGGCTTTCAATAGATTGGCTACTTCCTAAACCTCTTGATGCTTTTAATTACTACTGACTTGATGGCAGGGCTGGTCCTAGCACAAAACTCCCTAGTTGCCCCAACAAGCACCTGGCCCCCATCAGCTCCAGGGAGGCTAGCTTGGGCTGTGGGGAAAGAAAGAAAAGGAGGGGGGAAGGCTGGGTGAGGAGAAAGGATGCATGGGTGAGGAGCAGGCTGGGTGGGTGGGGAGCAGGCTGGTGCTGGAGGAGGCTCTGGAGAGGCCGCTACCACAGCTGTTGTGGCCCTGAGGTTCATCCCCTCATCGGACAAACTGCAAATGCCTCTTTGTGAGGAAGGGGAAGGTGAAGGAGTCACAGGAACCACTGCGCTGACTCTGGAGCAGGAATGCCTCAAAGCCCCCAGGCAGTCTGGTTGTACTGTCCAAACCAATTTCCATTCTTGTAGAGGGCTTGTTTACTTTTAAGAAAAGTATTTGAAGCAGCCGGGGAGAGAGCATGAACAGCAGACTCCTCCATCCCAGCCCTCTTCCAAAGCCCCGTTGGCTCCTGAGAGGTTCAGTCCTGGCAGTGGAAGTGTCTCGTCTGTGACACCCATGTGGGTGAAGGGTCAGTTTCCCCCTGGAGAACAGGCAGAAAAGACTCTGAGGTGACCCCACTGCCAGTGCAGCACTCAGTGAAACAGCCTGTCAGCACCAGGTGTGTTCTCCTGCACAGCCCCTGTCCCTCATGCCTCCCTCTATTCCCAAACACCAGGGCAGCGGATCTTTCCTCTAGCTTGGCTCTTTTCCTGCTACGACTCAAGGAACTGGGAATGGGAAGAGAAACATATTTGGAGAAAGACAGAATAAAAGACTAAAAGAATCACCCTGCTCTTTACTTTGGGTGAGTGCATTATGTCTTGGACTGGTTTGTACAACAGATTTTGCCAGTGTAGCAAAACCAGGCCAAACTATATGGTGTACAGGAAAAAATGAGTATTGTCACAGGCTTCTCTTATACAGAAAACCTGCATGGGAAAGGATACGGTGTAGATCTTTTGATGTATACACCCAGGTCAATACCAATCTAATTAATTCCGTATATTTCACGTTTTTCTTCAGTCCAATCTGTGCCGTTTCTTGTAAGTGTTCCCTTTAAATGCCAGTCAGGAGAGGATTCAGTCATGAGGTGCCCATCGCTGTGTATTTTTAAATCATTCAAGATTGCTTTCTCCTGCCATCTTGTGGCAATAGGAAAAATCACAGTGTTTCACTAACAGCAGCATTGCCTGCTGGTCTAAGGCAAGGGTTGTTAGTAAAAGCAGTGTATAATTAGATTAGTTGGCATAACTGGAAAAAAATATAGCCCTTCTTGCATATTTAAAAGGTTGACTAATTCTTCCAGCTCTACCAGTTGATCTTGTAGCAGTGGTTCTTTGGTTATCCCAGCACAAAATGTGCTTTGTTTCCTGTCAAACCGTAGGAAGATCTTGTCTGAAAGGCATGTAAAACACCCTGCATTGTTTGCTTAATTCTAAACAAAAACATTTTCATTATTTTGTTAAAAATGCATATAAGATTTATATAAGATTAAATTTAGGTTCCTGGGTTTTTCCCCCCCTTTTCCTGCAGTTACATAAAGGTTATTTGAAAATGAATATTTTTGATCCCCACTCTCCCACCACAATAGCTTTTCCCACATAGCTGAGCTAAAAATATGAAAATTATATATGATAATTAAAAAAAGGAAAAAATCCAAAAGGAAAAAATGCCAATATTTTCCCTTAAAATAAATGAAAAATTCAAAGTCAGGAGGAAAAACTAGTCACAAAATTCCAGCCTGCAAAGAGAACATAAATAAAAGCTCTTCAAAGCTTTGTTCATTTTCAGTAGCACCAGCAAAAACGACTGCTTGGGATGCCAGACATTGGAGAGATGTTAGTGCTATTTATAGCTCATAGGTGGCTCCCATTATCACTGTACCTGAGAATCTCAAAGTCCTTAATGTATTCCTGCTCACAGCAACTTTCCCAAGCAGAGGACAGCCTTCCCAGAGCTGCGCTGGAAGCACTGAGGTTTGCTTAGGGAGAATGAACTGTCATGTTTGCAGCGTGTTCCCAAACTGTCTGTTATAATCTGCCTGCAGCAGGCACAACCTCCAGCAAGGCTGCCTTACACCCTGCTACCTGTGCTCAGCTCTCCCTCCTGGGAGCCATGAGGCTGCTGCTTTGCTGGAGGCTCTTTTTCCCCCTCCATCAACCAACAAACCAACTTTGGCTTCAATCTATAGTCCACACCAAACCTCAGTATGAAACAGCATCAGAAAAACAACAGCACAACACCTGGCAAGATAAAGGTGAAAAGACCCTCCAAAAACTTGCTGGCATGCAACAATCCTTGCTCCTGCCCTGCCTGAACAACCGCAAGACTCACATAACATCAGCATGGTGTCGGGGGAGTGGGGCAGCCCTAAGCTGCCTGCTTCCCACAGAGACATCGCAGCAGGGCCTGGCAGAGAAACTTCTTCCCACCAGCCAGCAAATAGCAGGACAAGCTCTCCTAGTGACCCTAGGACTGGATGTTCCATAGAGCAGCAGCATGTTCCCACTGCCCTTGACCTCTCATCTATCATAGCCCGGAGAGATGGCTGCACACCCCGCTTTACCCACACCCCTGACAAGGCAGCTCCCTGCTTCA